CAGCACCGAGGAATTACCGGGGAGCTCCGCTGGTATGGTCACCGGACTAGACAGGGGAAGCGCGCCGCGGCAGCCGGCTTGGTCAGCGTGGATTTTTACTTGGAACAAAATAGGTAAGGTCTTAAACTTAGTTGGTTTCTAAAATCTGTTTGTTATAGTTTTACACTGTTTACCTGGTTACCGGTCACAAACCGTAGAGGTACAGAGGAACCTACGAAGGACCGGTTGAAGCTATTAAAAATGTATGCTTTAATGTTACTTCCTAATGTTATAAATGTGCCATAATCGTATCAGTCTAAATTTTGCAATCACAGCCGTGTTTTTGCAGTGTCACGTCTGCTAGTTGTTGTACTAGTACCCAGTCTCTTTTTTTTTTTCTGTACGAGACTTGTATGTACTTCGTGTTCTGTATATGTATGTTTAGTAAACTTTCCCCTATTTCTGTTCGGAATTCTTGGTATCTTTTAAGCAGACTTTTTCTAGATTTCTATAACTTTTTCTATGTTATTCTGGTGTTCTTGGATCTCGCTATCTTGTCGTCATGTCCCAGGGTATTTCCTTATTGTGGTTCTAAATGGGACATCACTATGTGTGCTATTTATCACCGACAAAGATTCAGTCCTACAACTAGAAAGGCCGACATTTGCTTGGGAGCAAATACAGCATATTTCAGTCCATCTCCCTCCCACGCAAAAGTGGACTATTCCAAACTTACCCCAGTGCAAAACTGGCAAAGGTTCTCAAATAAATGAATTAAATAGTAGCTATATGAGAACAAAGATGCAACAACAAGTACTTTGAATCTCAAAAGCTTTACTAATCTTATTACAGGTATGCAAAAACTAACAATGATGAGATTTGATACATTTTGAAGGTCTTAGGCACATAAAATTGAATGTGTGGGTCATTACGCACCACTTATTAGGTGCAATGTGACCTCAGGTAACCCGCAATGGAACAGGTGTTCCATGGATGGAACCGGCCATTCTTTAGATAGAACATGGAACGGGTATAGCACTTTTGGCCCTTTTTTTGCTGAAAATAGCCATTTAAGTCCCCCAAATGAGTCATTTGGAAGTGATGTATGCCAAATATATGACTGCTATTCTGTAGACACACGTTCAAGGTACCCTTGTACCGAATGTCATATCATTTGGTTGTAATACCAGGGCTCAGGATCCAAAAATCCATTTTTTGTCTAAAAATGCCCCAAAAAAACCTTCATAAAAATTTTTCAAAGGCATGTTTCAAAAAAATGAAAAAAAAAAAACGTCTGGGGGTATTTGCTCACTCTACCTCCATGCCAAATTTCAAGTCATTTGGCTGAATGATGGCGGAGTTGAATCCCTCTGACTGTTTGGCAGGAGGAGGAGGAGAAACATGAGGGAACACAATATATTTCATCCATACCATGGTATGGACTGAAATATAATTACTGCCATGGAGGAACGGTTCTACTAACCCTAGGACATGTATCACTCGCAGTGGTTTTGGGAAATTTTGGTGAGTTCGCTTTTACGATAAGAATTACAAATTATTGTTTACGGATTTGATGGCCGGGCAGAGTATCCATCATAGTCAGCGTCATAGTCAGCGTGACTTGAACGTTTTATTTGTGTGATGTTAGAAATTAAGTTCTTGGTTGTGTCTTCAAAGTTCCGGTGTCAGAATTTGGGCGTTGTTATATCATGACTGATCGATACGTCATTGTTGATCACTGACTCGGAGTTAGAGAAAGTTTAAAGTTGCTTGTTGGCTGGTTACCGCACGAGTGGAGAGAAGTTGGAATTTAAGTTTATTACGCATTAAAAATGTGTGCCACTTGACGTTAACATCCACCGGGATCAAGTTTTTCGGCTTTACTTGATATTCTCGGACTCCTCTTTCCGACAAAACCCTTGTGTTCAAATGAGTGGCTTAGGGATATTTTGCAGGCCCCAGCCAAACTCTGCTGATATGTCAGATCTTTCCAGCTGGCCTTTCTAATCATTGTCGTCCTGTAACTGACCCGGTAAAATACCCCTGGGCGGGCGGGCAGTGCTGACTTCACTCATCTTGTTCTTTGTGTGGTTTATTCCGTCCATTTTGCTTGCAGAATTTGGTCAGTATTTCATTACAGATCCAGCTGGTTGTCTTTATCAGGTATCGACGATCAGTGTTTTAGTGAATTGTTTTTAATAGCTGCTCGTTTTTAGCTGCTGGTTTATGTAAAGTTTGAGCCACCTGACGCCAAGTTCCGCCGGGGTTTTCCGGTCTTACCCTCAATTCTCTACGTCAAGGCTCTTCTGTCCAGTAACCCCGGGCGTTGGTTTTTCTTGTCTTTCCAGTAAATCTCAGACATGCAGCGAGGGATACCCTACTGTTCTACACTGAACACCGGTGCTGGCATATAAGGTTATGCCCTGTCCGCGCTAAACTGCCCGCACCTGCCAACGACTCGGGGTTCCGAACAGTGGAGACCATCTCAGTGCACGGAGAAGGTTTCAGTACGTCATATACTCATCTCTAGGTCAACGCCATTTTGGTTTTAACAATAATACTATTCACACAATTGCAAGTTGATATTATTTCCGCGTATTCTGTACATATGTGTAGTTTACCTGCTGACATCCCAACATAATAAGGTCCAAGTTTCACATCGTGGTCACGCTGAACGCTGAAGAACTATGCTGAATAACGCGACCCTAGCATGCAACAAACTTCGCTAACCAGTACTACATTGTTTCTTTCAGCTCTACATGACGACAAACACAACAGTTACTCAAGAATACAATCAAAAAGTGGAACAAAATACCAGGTGAGTGCCTAACCATCCTTATTTTATGCAATAGTGTTCATAATCACGATGGTTAAGCAATGTTCGCATCTCTATATAGTACTTCTTTCACAATAAGCTGTGTGACTTTTGAAATACGGTAACATGTTTACTATGATGTCATTGCTGGGAAAACAGTGTAGCCTGGGTGCCAGGCCCTGTGACACGATACTCCATTCAGTCGGGGAAACCACACGCCCGGAACCCAGAATAGATACTCTAGATAAATTGAAGAAGGATGCCAGCTCCGAAACTGGGGCGTGTTGGGCGATATAGATGCCCGATCGAGAGACTCAGAAAAAAAACACTTTCTTTCTCCTAAGCGAGGAGGTAAGCTCCTTGTTCTAAGTGCTAGGGTCTGGCACATATGCTAGTCATAATGAAATTATATATATTACCTGGCAGCAGAAAATCTCACACGGCATGTATACTTCATGCAAATTTCATTGCCAGAAAAGGGTGTATTTATGTGTCCACTTCATTGCATTCTTTTAATTAATCGACTCACATTGCATATTTACATTTATGTGTAAAGCATGACCCCAAATCTTGTTGATTTAAGTTAGTCCTAGCTGGTCAAAGTTGGCATAGATTCATTTATGCTCTGTTCTCTGTTTATACCACAGGCAGACTTCGGCATGTCCACCCTGAGATGCAGACTACAGCAGGAATTTACTGGCTAGCACGAAACCCAGTCGTGAAAGGATTGGGGTGTGCATTCATGTTTTTCACGCAAGAAAGTTGAAAAACAAGCACTGCAGCTGAATGCAACAGCATCGTGAAAGCAAAGAAAAAAAATAATAAAAAAGCAAGACTTACACAAACATGCATACATTGTGTGTTACATAGAAAACACACAAGTGAATAAAATTCCTTACACAAAACATCACTATTACATGTATCACACAGGTAAGTTATAAAAAAACGACCAGCATCATATAGTTGAAACTAAAAACATATTTGAAGCATTATAAGCTTGAATATGCTGCACCTTGTTCTTTCTTATGAGCAACAAAATTTGTTCTTTCTTGATAGAAGAAAGCATATTTGAAATATCAATAAAGATAATCATTAATATTCTGTGTGCAAAAAGGCACAGTTTGCCCGAAAAGGTGCTTTTTGCATGCATGGTAACATAGGCCTTTCCTGCTGGGTCCGAAGACATAAGGCCGGAGGCTACCTCAAAACCAATTCCCCAGGGAATGCATTCGTAAAATTTTCTAAATTCTTTCAGCTTGATCGTAATATACTGTAAAAATGCCTCCGCCCCTGAGGCGTCGCCAAAAAAATTATATCTGATTTTCTTTTGGGGTCCGCGCGGACCCCAGCCGGCTTTCGATCATAATGGATACACTGGCGTTCTTATATATTACCTTATTTCCGTTTTTATATGTTTTTATGCATTCATCGTATGTCTACCAAGTTTTCAGAGAATGGTGTAGTAATAGAATTAAATTTTAATAACTTTGGTGTAATTATGACGTCATATGACGTCAGAGCTAATAACATAGTCCGCCATATTGGATTTTGACCAATGACGTCATCAAATTAGCATATTCTATGAATACTAAATGATTTAACTTATATTTAATTATGTAAGATGTTATTAATGTTGGAAAAGAAGTGTAATTTTATATAAAACTCAGAAAATTTTATGTTTAAACCAAAATTACTTCTATTTTCGAAAAAACTACCCGTTGCCATGGCAACACAAAAAAAACATCAACTTACTAGTACAAAACTAATATGAACTTTTTTCCAGAGACATTTTAGGAAAGGTCTCCAAATTTGATACTTCTAGCGCAAGCCGTTTAGCCGCTATCTGAGATCAAAGTTGGGCCTCAAAAGCCCCTTCAGTCTGAAATGGGTTTAAAAATCGGGTATTTCTTCTTGCCTTCTTTTCTTCACCAAAAAATAGAAAAAGTTCAAAATGTATGATTTTTGTATGTAATGTGGACACAGAGGTTTCCACATCAGTTTGCAAAACAATTGAGCTGGTAGCATGTTGATAATTTCTAAAAATTAGCAAAAAACTGTTCTGGGGTCCGCGCGGACCCCAGGTGTACAGATTAATCAGTCCGGGAAGGTGTTCTGTTGAGGGTTAATCATTACATGCATCTAGCCTCTAGGTAGCTGCCACCTTACAGACTTTTGTATTGCACCATCACATTGTCACTCATACGATGTAAGCAAACAACAGCTAATGCTTCTTCATGTAATTATTACATTGAATCACAAATGCTACGATACATTTACAAATGATATGCCAGATTTACGGTACCAACTATGAGCATTACATTCATTGAGTGGTGATCTAATGTTTATGATATGTTACTTTCAGCGTAGGTACCTTTAAGTTCACAGACGTCTGGAAAATAATTCTATTAGGTTGGTGGAACATAGGATATTGGAGTTTTTTTCACACAACCAGTAGTGTTTCTCATCTGCTTACCTTACGATGTCTGTCTAACACCTTCCTCAGAGCTCCTGTCTGGAGTGTTGCTTCTCGCCGCTTTAAGTAGCCGATGTAGGGGGGGGGGGGATACAAAATTAGGCCACACCGATTTAATTTTATGGATGACATCCGAGCGCGCATTGATTTTCGCCCGATCTCAAAAAAAAAAAAATTCCGAGGCTCTGGCCCGGCTTTAGGCCTGGGTAGTGCATGGTGGTGATAACTCTGGTTGACGGCAGCCAGGCTACCGAAGCTCCAAGACTCAAGAACTCAGTACATACGTACAGCAGTGTCGATTCTTATATTCCGCAAAAATCCAGCATGTGTCGGCCTGTCGTATACGTCGCTATGTAATGCGCCAAATTCACAATACCAGGTTTGTATTCCTGTGGTTTTGTAGCATTTTTATTTTTGGCCTGATTTTTATTTTTTTCGCCCGCGCGCACTAGTTTGGGGGTCTTCAGAGGATGTCATCCATAAAATTAAATCGGTGTGGCCTTAGCCACGTTTGGGATTGTGTTCTCACGGTAGGGGGGATACAAAATTAGCCACGTTTGGGATTGTGTTCTCACGGTAGGGGGGGTACAAAATTAGCCACGTTTGGGATTGTGTTCTCACGGTAGGGGGGGTACAAAATTAGCCACGTTTGGGATTGTGTTCTCACGGTAGGGGGGATACAAAATTAGCCACGTTTGGGATTGTGTTCTCACGGTAGGGGGGATACAAAATTAGCCACGTTTGGGATTGTGTTCTCACGGTAGGGGGGATACAAAATTAGCCACGTTTGGGATTGTGTTCTCACGGTAGGGGGAATACAAAATTAGCCACGTTTGGGATTGTGTTCTCACGGCAAAAGCGCCACCTATACCAGCTACATATAGCGGTGAGAAACAGCACTCCAGTCAGAACCTCTGAAGAAGATGTCTGACAGGCATCGAAACGTAAGCAGGAGAGAGACATTACTGGCAGTGTAAAAGAAACTCCAATATCAGATATTTATTATTTTCTATTCCAGATGTGGAGACTTCTGACACGTCGCAAGCATTTGATATCAGGTGGCTCGGTCTTCTGGGCATCTTCCCTGTCATCATATTGATAGCGATTGCTATAGCGATACAAACCCAAAAGAAGAGGGAAAAGAAACGAATGGCAAAAAGAAAGGCTAGAAAGCAGACCTGGCCCTACGTACGAAATATGAACTCCTTACGAACACTTTAAAGGGGCATTATGTAACATTTTTGCACCAAAAATTGAAACATTTTAATTGAAATTTTCATCTTCATCAATCTGTATTACATCATTAATGTCATTTACTTCTACTTTTCAACATATTTGTGCAATTATTACACACTTCGTCTTTATTGTTGACACTAAAACAGCCCACACGAGGTTCATTTTGTGCCACAACCAAAACTGAAAGAATGTAAACAAACATGGCTAACAGCTGTGTTTCCAGCTTTTATACCAATCGTATGGTGTAATATTTTGGCACCTCCACTTCCTGAATGACACTTGGAAATTGACTAGGGTTGATTCAACTTACTTTGTGAAGAAGTGAGACGATCGAACCGACATGAGCAAATTGATATGTCTGCTTGTCATATTATATAAGGATGCACTTAATGCACGTACTTTATAAGAATTAAGCCTGTTTGATATGATTCAAGCTTGTTTGATATTATCTAAGTCGCTTAATATTAGGAGGGCTGATGTCAAAATAAAATGGCATTGATAGCACCAAATTTAATAAGTGAATTAAAACAAAATAACTTGTGTATAGCAAGATATATATCTTGAAAGCATAGAAGAAACAGTTGTATTTAGATTGTTTGATATTATTAATGGTAGGAATAGTAGCTTTTAAACCAAGCGGTTTTATATTCACCTTTATCTTATACCTGATATGAAGATTTTTCCATCCCATACAGTGCCAGCAGCATAAAGTTCAAAATAGTTTAAGAAATCAATATGTATATAGAAACCAGTAGATTTAGATTCTAATACCCGCAATATAATCTTCAATGTGTGTAACAACTTTGGCAGAGAAATCATTGTCACTATTTTCATATCATTTAATAATTTAAAAATAGTCGAAGAAAGAAGTCTTTGGTGGCGGGAGATACATATCAGAATAAACTATATAGATTTATTTCAAATTCAACAGTCTGAAGTTTCTTTATTATTCATTGTGTACCTGCGTATAATTTGTATTATCATATAGCCAGATGGCGTTGACCAATAGGAAGCCCCCCTTTTTATATTGATTATGACACCATAATGCCACAGTAAGCATGATACAAGTATTGCAAAATCATCCCAAGTGTGTATTATTTCACAAGTGTGCCTTTGATGCAGAATAATGCACACTTGAGAGCAAACCATTATGTAGGGGGTGTTGATTTTTTTTGCTAACATTTGTAGCATGTTTACTTGTTGAATTGAAATGTTAACCGTCTTGTCATTAAGCAATTTTGAAAGCAGTGCAAAGCATGATGGAGAAGAAAGAGATAGTAAAAACAACAACAAGACAGAGAAATACAAGAAGACAGAGAAAGTACCGAGAACGTATTGCATCGAACGCGTGAACGAGTGACGTTGACTTAGTTTATAAGAACGTCGAGATTACCTCATTGCGAAGGTATTTTAAATAGGAAAGAAATCTGTCGAATCCACCGTGAGTTAAAGCTGCAAAACGACCAAAACAAGTATCTTGCCGCGGATGGATATCTCCTTCTCTATTGTACATTCATATGCATATCCATCGGACTATTTACGTGCATACGAGCACAGAAACAGATACAAGTACTTAACATACATATATTGACAGGATATCAACGTCAGTAATACACACCTATCAAATGCGGAGGACCCCCCCCCCTTCCAATAAAAAAAAGTAAATTCCGCCAGATCCTGTGCCGACCGAGTGCTGGCACTCTCCCAAAAATAAACGCCATTCGCACGCAAGAGGGTTGGCATCTACCAGACCATATAACAATGCCCTTCGGCAATGTTGAGCTTGAGTCTGGGGACCGGAATTTGACCCTTACCTCAGTCAGACTGAAAGTCATTGTGAGAACGCCATTATTCCAGACGAGATCTCAAGATCCGGTCTCATTCAACCTCAGTCTTCAAAACACAGGTGAATCTTAGAGAGATATTGGAAGTATTTTGTGTGCACATGTGGGGGGGGGGTAGTTCAGTCATAGTACGCCGTGCTACGACCGAGTTTTATAACTTATAACGTCGTTTTCCTTTCTTCCTCTGTGGTAAGATAAGACCACGGAACTTTGTCCACTGAGTGGTCCAACTGAGGTAGAATTTCAGG